CGTGATGCATTCATGCGTGAAAAATAACCAAAATTTGACGAATAAGTCATGCGGACCAATCAAACTTAAGATTTTGCAGACAAATCCCACTCCAAACAGCATATAAATCATACACTTTGTGATTGCATCACTCCGTTTCTGGTATAAATGTCATTGTAGGCTTACTGTAGTCAAGACTTGTCTTTCTTCTTTTAGAACCTTTTTAGATCTTTATAATCACTATTTGATAATAGAAACTTAAATGCTAATCGAGTGCATTTAGCCACAATTGTCCAGCATCTAATAATTGTATTAACTACCTGATTGCGTTGTAAATTTGTTTGCTTTTGTAATTTGGTTAACTTGATTGGTTTCAAACAATTTGTAGTCAATAATCTGTTTAATATAAATAGCATTACTATTCTCAGCCTAAGACTATCTGACATCATAAAACTTTCAATATGACTTATTGGGTTTAGAAGTTTTGACCATTGGTTAGGATATTCAAATGATTTTCAAACCCTGAGAAATCTTTGTTCACTATCTGATGATAATATTGCAATAGTTAATTTAAGAAGTTTTAATGTTTTTCCTGCTATTATATGATAAATGTCCTGTAGTGACTGAAGATGTCATTTATGTTGAAGTTCATTAAGTATTGGAAAATATTTTTGTAGACCATATTCTTTAGAAATATTATTTTGCTGTGTAATTGTTGGAGCTGTGAAAATATTATCAAAAAGAGTATTGGTGATGTGGTGATAACAGGAAATGTTAGCAATATCCAAGTTTTCATCTGTTGCGTTTTCTCTTGAAACTAAACATATTCTACACCCTTTTGTTACACCATGCCGTTTTACTCCTATTAGATCATTGCCCTGGAGGAGATCTGATGTGGTCCTGTGATTTTTATTCAATTTGATTATAAGATTAGTGTATAATATGAATGCGAAATAAAATTTAAGGCCGAAAAAAAATTAAGAAATCATAAATAACTCATAAATTCGCAAGGGAAATTAGCTTTTATTATTAAATAAAAGTTTTCAACACAAAAATTAGATATGTTCTTTCTACTTTGAATTAATGCAAGCATTAATTTTTAGATGAAAATTAAGATATTGTTTTTTAATTAGTCACAGAACCATCAAATTTTTGCACCACTCAACAAAGTTATGCTTACAATAAATAAATTGAATATCTTGGTTAATAATTATTTTATCTTGGCCAAGTAACAGTGCCTTGGCCCAAAGATCTCTGTGCCAATATTCCTTTTTTTGTCTGACTTCGATTTCTGGTCCAAAGTATAATGTATTATATAGTGATGGATTATTCAGTATATTTCAAATTATATTGCAAATAGAAAGATAATAACAAGGCTTCATTTCTTTAGCAGTTGATGAAGTTTTTTTTTGATTAATGTTTACATAATGTGTTCTTATTGGTATCAACGGTAATCAATTTCTTTATTGCTGAAATCTTCGTATATTCTTTACAATATCACTAATATTGAAAGCTAGATTTTGTAATACATCTACAAGGTCATTATACACGCTTGTTGCTATAAATAAATTATTATCTGTTAGTTTTTAAAATTATATAATTTGTTGTATTAAATAAACTTACAAATATTATACTTCTGTATCTAGCAAAATAGTAACACAGAGGTCGGATTCTCAAAGTATGATGCACTTCTATTTATATTCAACATTTGGTTTATATTCATCGATGCGTTAACAATCTGATCTTCATCTATAACATTATTGCTATTACTGTCACTATTGTCATCCTCCTCCTCCACTACAAAGTTTTCTTCTATATATTCTATTTTGCTTTATATTTCTATTTCATCCTGCATTTCCATTTTGTCCTGCATTTCTATTTTGTCCTGTGTTTCTACTTCATTTTGCGTTTCTATTTTCTTTTCCATCTTCATTTCTATTTCATCTTCCATTTCCATTTCCATTTCATCTTCCTTTTCTATTTCATCATACATTTCTGTTTCATTTTGTAGCTCAATTTTATCTTGCAGATCAATCATATCTTGTGGTTCCATTTCATCTTCCTCATCACTTATACTTGATTCTATATATTAATATACAATGCAGAATAAATAGAATATAAGCTTTTGTGATACAGATCAACAAGTTGATAGATATATATTAGGGCAGTTATAGGTATTGTTGTAATTAAACAATATTTAGAATTAATATCATTTAATCTACCCAATACTCATAGCTGCTCTAATACCTATATCTGCCTTATATATTAAATATACCTGTTATCTAATTTCAATAATCCAAAACGTTTAAATTTTAGAAGCACATTGCGATTAGAAAAATTTGCGTTTTGGCACAAAGATAATAATTTAGTTGATGGAATATGATCTTTATGACTTTTGTGCATTTTTGAAATTAATTAAAATATATATTATAGAAATGTGATGTTACAAAACAAAAAGCCTTGCATGAAATTATTCAGAACAACGGTTAAAAAGATGAGTTTGGTTCAATGAGAATTTTTTAATACTGTTTTAATTAACAGAGGATAACTCTGACTCTTCCAAGTCTAATTTTATAGACTATAACCTCTAATATTAAATGATATCTAATTCTATAGACTATCCTTTACACTGTCAATTTAACTATATATTCACTACGATTTAGACTACAATCCAATATAATTTGGTAGCTTAATCACAGATTAATCATAGAATTTTTAGGCAATTTGTCTGCAAGACGGTGTAAGGGATAACTTTTAATAATAATGCCATTTAGCTTTTAATTAGTATTCATATAATTGGGGATTATTGTAGTATTTTATATATATCACAGGAATTTAATTTATAAATTGATTAGTCCTTGCTACAAGACTTTAGAGCAGTGTTGTTAAACGACTTGTTCATTTGTAATTGTCACACACTTTTTACTATATTGTTTATTGTTCAATG